AAAAAAAAAAAAAAAAAAATCAAATCACGTATTACACGTATATATTCTTGTTCAAAATAAATACATTTGTGAATTTATTAAGCATTTACGTAAACAAATGTTCATAAACAAGTGAATGTACACAAACGTATTGTGCGTACTTAACGAAATACTTTGTTCATTGATAGCATTTGCTTTTCAACAACAAACTTTTAGCTTTAAACGAGCAAATTTTAATTTCACTTTTGCTTTTAAACTTTATTTATTTTTTATTTTTATTTGCAAAAATAAAAATAATTGATCGCTAACAAATGCTAGCTGCTTCTTTCACGAATTTATAGAGCATTTGTTTTATTTTATCAGCACAAATTTCAAATTGCTACTTGAAATATTGAAATATTCACCATTTTCACGTCAAGGTAATGCTACATATTTGATTATTTTATTGTCTACGTGAACTTTCAACAAAATAACGTAAAAAAAGTAAAAAGTTTGTTAGAATAAAAATAAATTTTTGACCTCAGTAATAAAAAAAATAGAAATCAAATAAGTATTCTCATAAATTAAAATACTGTTTGCATGCTTCTTTTTAATCCTAGAAAGTCGCTCATAATTACCAAATTTTATTAAATTCTGTTATTTCAGTCTTATTCTAATTTAATTTGAAATAAATTAGTGGAAAAAACAAAATAGATATTAAAATTCAAAAAATTTAAGTATGAATGTAATTGTAAATTCAATTTGTTTAATAATTTAACTTCTAATATTATTTATATTTCGACATTTTTTATATAAATATTAAAATAAATAAATATCGACTTTCCATAGTATTTATTAATTTTTAAGATTTACAGAAATGATCAGATCATCTGGCTTGAATTATAACCATCATAATAAAATGTTAAATCCAAACTTTATAGCACCTGATAGTTTTAGGCATGTTGTGATATGAGTACTTGATTTCTAATTCAAACTGCGATAATTCAAAAAATTTACTTAGATTTTTACAAATCGATATAATGGAGTAATAATACTTGTATTATTGCTTTCTTATTTTTTGTTTACTATCAAATTGAATCTGAATCCCAACCTGACCTGATTCCTTGCATTAATAAACGATATTTTAGTCTCGAATTAAATCATAGATTTTGATTGCAATCAAATCACAGATTGCAATTAAATCATAGATTTTGAGAGTAAAATGATATCACATACCATTACATATACTTGCCACAATTTTAAATCATTTATTACTGATATTTAACCTTTCTGAATGATAATCATTATCACTATTTCCATCCTCACTGGTTAAACAATGAAATAAATCAGATAATGAGACAAGTTTTATGTGTATTTGTTTATTCGTGTATCTCACTGTTTGCAGTTTTCTTGTTAAGTTCTCTTCTCTCATATCATTTATTTCTTATCAGTAATCATTTGTGATGATCAGTGTCTGTTTCACCTTTCTTTACCATTGCAAAGTATATTAGGTATTTATTTATACACGGAATATTTCATTTGTTTATAGTAAAATAATTCCTGACTTAAATATGCAAATTTTAGACTTATAAATTTACAAAGCTGCCTGCCATAGAAGCAAAAAATATGAATGAAAATCGAAACAATGAAAACAAAAAGTTTGAGGTTTGTTATTATTTTTATATAATTTAAATATTTTTTGTCAAAAAAGCTAAATTTTTGCTTGTATACATTCATATAATGCTTAGATTAAGTTAGTTACAGTAACTAAGTGGAATATCCTTCCAATAATTAAGTAAAGATTAAGTCACAATAATTAGTGAAAGTATACTATCAGTAATTGCATTGAGAAAATGAGTGCAGTAAAGAAGATCAGTTAATAAATGTATAACTTTGAATCGCATAATCTTGTGTCACATTAGATATTTAAATCGTTTGAGGTAAATTTGAATTTTAAAAAAAATCAACTCTTAATATAACGAAATTTAATGTAAAAATTTTTTGACATATCATTTTAGCATGTAAAGTAATACAGTAAGCATATACTTTAAGTAAGTAAGTTTAAGTTTGTTTTAATACAACAATTACTCCTGTATAATATTTATATTATTACTGTAATTTATTCTTATTATCATTCATTTATTTATTTTTTTTTTCGAAAATTTAGCTCTGTGATAGTTACTACATTGAAAAGATTTACATAATTAGATTCATTTTAAGTCATATTTGTAATTATTAAATATTTTAATTTAATTTCGGTATGTATTAAGTTTTATGTAAGAAAAAAATATTAGTGTGTAATAACTTCGAGCATCAATTTATATGCAAGGGAATTTAATATTTAGGTGATATTAGTGATATTAAACTTCAGTGCAGTGAATGAATAGATAAGCAGACAGATAGATAGATAGATAGATAGATAGATAGATAGATAGATAGATAGATACAGAAGGAGTACTGGAGCATTCCCATAACAGAATGCATAATTTAATTTCTAGCATCGGTTACAGCTTATCATTGTAAATCTAGAGAAGACAGAAAAGGAAGTAGATAATTTTGTTACTCATTAATAGTAACTAAACAATTGTAAGTAACTAAGCTACTTGCTCTTAGTCTTAGTCTAAGTCAGCTAGTACTAGCTTAAAAAAGTGAGTAAACAAGCTAAAATCAATTGCTGGATTTATCAATTCAAATAGCAGTTTTAAACTTTGTGCACTCAGTAAGAAAACAAGCAAGCAATTTACAAATGACAAGCCTTAACTGACTACTTCTAAAACTTTGATGCTATTTTATGCCTTGCGTGAAGTGCAACTTATAGCTAAGCCTAAAGCCTAAATTAGAATGAAAGCATCCAAAATGCATAGAAAATCAATGTTTATTCAGAAGGCTTTTGGTTGCTAGGCTTTGTATTTCTATCAAAAATGCCTACAACATTGATGCATGCATATGCCTGCCTGCTGAATATCACTTTATGCATATGTTTTGCATATTTTTTATTACAAAAAGTACGTGGTGTGTGTGTGTGCTGCGTGATGCGTGCTTGTGTATTCAAAGTTAATAGATAAAAAATACAGATAAATTTCTTTGCACGCATTATTTATCGTTGTTAGCAGTTAGCAGAACGCAATCCTACTCAAACCTTTTCCATAATTACTATTCTTGTGTGAATATTTATTTGCTGCTTTCCTATATTTTATTTTCTGTTTTAATTATTGGTATTAAGTGAGTAAGCTATTATCAATATATCAGTGATAGTTTAGGTAATAAGTAAGCTAAGCTATTATCAATATATCAGTGATAGTTTTTCATTTAACTAACACGTACGACGTCAGGTTTGGAGAGATCAACAAATAAGTGTATTAATTTTGTGTGATTTTTAAATAAACGCATCGATTTAGAAGTGGAACAAATAAATTTTTCCCTGAATCACATCATTTTTACTATGAAAAGCAAATTTTTGCCAGCTGTATAAAAGTTTGATTATTTCCAATTTTGTATAATTAAATTACTTACTGCTTTCATTAGCTGTTTTGAAAAAGTAATCAGGATTATGAGTTTAATTATTAATTTATTTTCTATTTTAATAATTTAATTGTAGAAATCAATAGGCATGTTAGTAAATTTGCTTGAGTAAGACAAAAAAGTAATGATAAATTGATGATGATAAACGAGTTTTTTACAAATCACTTCACGTATTATTTGATTACATTGTGTTTGTAAGAATTACGTGAAAGCAAAGAAATATTTCGCGTAATAAAATGATGAGTAAATATGAAAAAATTGCTGGCAAGGCATTATTCATTTTATGCAATTACTTTATTTTTTTCTATTTCAGTTTCACTCTTTACATACACACACACACACACACGCACATGCACACACACACGCACATGCACACATATACGCACATGCACACACACACACACACACACACATGCACGCATATACGTACATGCACACATACGCACATGCACATGCACATATGCACACATACATACTACATATGCAATGTGCAAACGTTGTCTTTTTTCAATTTTTAACCCATTTTTTCTTGTTTCTTTCTTGCATTCCTTTGGAGTGTTGTCAAGTATAAGATATACCAAACTCTTTCTAACTTTACTTACGTATTTGTTACACCACGTCATTCTTCAAACAATTAACGTAGTATTTAACATTCCATTAGTGTGGTAAAATGAAGAAAAAAGTAAAGACAATGTAAGTAAGTGGTAAGGGTAAGCTTGTGTATACTTCTTTCCGTCACTCTAAACGTTTGTTATGCGTGCAGACATGTGAGTACTAGCTAAGTATTGCTTATCATAGCTTATTTGTATGCTATTTTTACTTCAAAAAATGTTCTAATAATAAACTCACGTACATAAACTCACTCTACGATTGATAAGTGATTTATTATTAGGCAGTAATATTGCTTAATGCCTCAGCTGAGTGTCCATTCCATTTGGTCAGCACTGAGGTCATTAATTCCTCTAACCTTCTCTCAACTTTCTTCGCAGTATCCTTCACCTTAATTGGTAAAAAATTGTGACGGAAGGACCGTTTTCGATTTTGCATTCATTGCTTTCTATTAATCCATGGAAATTATTCGCTCATACTATCATTGATTATTTTATGCAAATTTTTTATTTTTATAACATTATTTATAGTTGCGGTCAAATTTTATTATCATTCAACATAACTACACAACTTTTATACTTTTTATTATCATAATATATTCATAAAATACTTTTTCTTCATACTTTTTTTACTTTTTATATATTATTTTATACTTTTTTTACTTTTTATACTTTATTTTATACCATTATTTTCTTTACCATTATGAGAATTTTTTATTTTTACAAATTTGCCTTCTGTAAAACATAAATAAGTTAATTACACGTTATTATAAAATGATAATTATTATAAAATAGAAATAATTGTAAAATAGAAATATACTAAGTTGATAACATGTTATTAATTATCATTATTAAGCCATAAGCAATTTTATACTTCTATTTGCCCTATGACTAGATAGTAATATACACTTTTCTTAAAAAAATAATGATTTTAATCAGACACATATCAATATTATTTCGATAATTTCGGAAAATGTCTCACCATAAACATAATTTATTCCGCCAAAAATTGCAAAAGCTACTAAAATATGATATAATATTAATGTCTTATGATAATAAAAAGTATAAAATAATATATAAAAAGTAAAAAAAGTATAAATAAAAAGTATTTTATTAATGTATTATGATAATAAAAAGTGAATGCAATTTAATTACATATTTCTACACTTAAAATGAATATCTAAGCATTATAGCGTTGAGTTGAGTTTTTTTTAGTAATAATTTTTTGCTCGGTACAGGAATTCTGTACAGTACTGCCACTGTAATGAGTAAAAAGTTAATACTACAAAAAGGTTTTTAATTGTAATAAAATGTTTGATATTACTTCGCGAACTTAAGTTTAATGTCATGTTAATAATGCTTTTTTCTTGATAAATCGATAGGTCATTTTTTAATAGGTCATTTTTAGGTCGTTTTTTTGATCAATGATAGGTCATTTTTTATTGATAGGTCATTTTTTTGATCGATGATAGGTCATTGTTTGATAAAAATAACTATTGCTTTTATTATTTTGTACCGTTTAATGCATTAGGTAAAATATGAAATATTAAAGAAATCTTTATGGTTTTAGTAGTAATAATACATTCTTAAAATGTATGATTAATTATAGACAAAATTTGATTTTCATCAGAAACAAAGAGGTAATTACCAGTCATATCATAATAGCAAGATGATTCTTTCACTGCTTTATTTGCATATTTACGTCCATTCCCTAACACTCTTCAATCGCATTAGACAGACTGATCATAGATTAAATTCATATATTATATAAATGACCTTTGACCTAGAAATCTATGTGGTGTGTAAAAATGAAGACGTATGGTATTATAAATTAGAGAGCTTTCCGTTGTTAACACTAACAACTGCCACTCATACATCTTTGTTGTAGACAAAGCTGGCTTACCTGTGTCTAATTCTTTTATAGTTTAAGCAATACAAAATCGGAAATTAAAATAACTGTAAAATTTTATGATTAAGTCATTTGTTGAATAATTTTTGTATCTTTTGTGTGGGTCATTTCTTCCTTAAGTAATCAGTAATTCATTCACTCTTTTAGATATTTGGCAAATATATTTAAGCATGTGTTTTAATCGCAAAAATATTTCTTAAATGTATTTAATGCGTTTAATTTTTTCAGTTCTGTTATAAACAAGGAGTGATTAATTTTGGTCATTTTTAATAATAACAAAATTTTTTATTTTTCGATATCTTATAAATGTATAGCTTTCTTTGCGCATTCAGTGGACTGCAATTCTAAAATCGTTTGATAAGTACTAGCAAAATTAAAATTAACGCGTAAATGTCTACTCAGAAAGTATTAGTAAACTTATTGACTATGTAATTATTCTTAGTTTTATACAAATATGCTAATATTTTGAGTTTTAAAACTGCGCGAAGTTAGGCCAAATTATTGTGCTTATTATCAAGTACTGATGACATACATAATTTTTGTGAAGTTCAGCCATTCCATGTTGTATTTCGTTTAAAGTTTTTGAAAGTAATGCTTTTGCAGCTAGAAGACATGTCTAAGAAAAAGGCGGCAGATATTAATGAATTGAAGCAGGAAGTCCAGATGGTATGCTTTTCACATGATGGTACTCGATATCTTCACACATTCAGATATGCAAATTTTAGACTGCTGACATACATGATAAATACGGCTTGAATAATTGTAGGATTTTATCGGAGTTCAAGATTGTATACAATTATATCAATTTCAGGACGAACATCAGATTCCTATGGAAGAACTAGTAAGACGCTTAGAATCTGATGTCGATAATGTATGTTTTTATCAATTGGCTGAAATTAAAAAGACTGTACTGTTGTTATCACATTTCACGCTACTTTCGTGAAAATAATGATAGCTTATAATTGTGGGATTTAGCTCTTTTTATTCATAAAAAATAACATTCTTAGTATTAGAACTGAAGAATTCTTGATAATAAACTAATGTTTGAAATGCAAGAATCATCCTTTCTTAATATAATTTGATACAACCCAGATTACTACCTAACTTTGTGGTTAAACTGTTCTAAATATATTTTGACAAAATGCTATCGACGGAAATTCAAAATGAGTATTAGAGGAAGATTAATGTGTCGGGATTCCTGATTCTGGTTCCTGATCCCTCGTTCGTGACTCTCCTTTAATATTTAATTAAATTCTTTGCAGGGGCTTACTGCATCAAAAGCAGCTCGAATATTAGCTAGAGATGGACCAAATACATTATCTCCACCAAGAACCACACCAGAATGGGTAAAATTTTGTAAAAATTTATTTGGTGGATTTGCGCTATTACTTTGGGTTGGCGCGTTTCTTTGCTATGTTGCCTACGCTGTGGATTATTTTAGTATGGAACATCCAATCAAGGACAATGTACGTGTATTTAATTTCATTTTAAAATTTTCTATTTAATTTTTCCACTTGTGTCACTCACATTTACTTATTTCCATAAATTTCATGCAATAATAATTAAATTAAATTTATAGTTTGCGCAAATTAATAATAACCGTGAAGTTTTGCAGCTAATTAACTTTCATAAATTTAATTGTAGCTCTATCTTGGGATCGTATTGATGACTGTTGTTGTGATTACTGGTTGTTTTCAATATTACCAAGAGAGTAAAAGTTCAAAGATTATGGAATCTTTCAAGAATCTTGTTCCAACTGTATGTATTAATCCTTTTTATATGCATGAGAAGTTCATAATAATTTTTTTAATTACTATTCATTAATTTTTCAGTTTGCTTTGGTATACCGTGATGGAGAAAAAGAGCAAGTGCGTACGGAAGATCTGGTAGTTGGTGATATCGTGGAAGTAAAAGGGGGTGACCGTGTACCCGCTGATCTTCGTGTAATTTCTGCATCTGGATTTAAAGTAATTCTGTCTTCACTCGTATCTTGCGCTTAAAAAGTTATAGCATTTTAACGAACTCAGAACAATTTTTGTGATTATCGTAAAGATAAACAAAGAGCACAGTGCAATTTTAGGTGGATAATTCTTCACTAACGGGAGAATCAGAACCACAAGCTCGTTCCTCTGAATGCACCAACGAAAATCCTCTGGAAACGAAAAATATTGCTTTTTTCTCAACTCACGCTGTAGAAGGATCTTGTAAAGGCATTGTGATCTATACTGGCGATAGAACAGTTAATCATTTTCCTAATAATAATATTCCGAATATGTAAAATAAGTATTTTATGGTATTTTATTTAAATTTACAGGTCATGGGTCGGATCGCGCATTTAGCATCAGGTCTAGACACGGGCAAAACTCCGATTGCTCGAGAAATCGAGCATTTCATCCATTTGATAACCGGTGTTGCCGTTTTTCTTGGTGTTACCTTCTTCATAATTGCATTTGTATTGGGATATCATTGGCTAACCGCTGTCGTCTTCCTCATAGGTGTGCAATATAAACAAAGCTCTTCTTTAAATGTTGATTAAAAAAACATTTCCGTGTATTTCTTAGAATTAATTGTTGCTCAAATATTGCATTGTGAGTTGTGAGTACTGTAGGCATCATTGTGGCTAATGTTCCGGAAGGATTAATCGCGACAGTAACAGTATGCTTGACGCTAACAGCAAAACGTATGGCATCAAAAAACTGTTTGGTGAAGAATTTAGAAGCTGTGGAAACGCTTGGTTCCACGTCAACAATCTGCTCAGACAAGACTGGAACTTTGACACAAAATCGTATGACTGTTGCACATATGTGGTTAGTTTGAGTAAAAATTGTATTTTTGACGTGCAAGAATTTCAAAAATAATGCAGTTTAAACTTATTTACAGGCATGTTGCTTGTTTTCACACAGCTTGTAATTGTTTTCTAGCAATGTTTAAGGTATGATATGGCAATTGAAGAATGTGATACCACTGAAAATCAGTCAGGTGTGCAACAAGTAATTGCTAAAGGCAGCACATTGTCGTCCCTTAGTCGGATTTGTGCCTTATGCAGTCGAGCAGAATTTAGGCCTGGACAGGTTATTTAAAAATTTAACAGACCTAGTTAATTGTCTTTCAAAACTTCTTGTGCAGGTATTATTTTATTTTGCTTTTAAGGAAGATGTTCCTATTCTTCGTCGCGAATGCACGGGTGATGCATCAGAAATTTCGCTTCTGAAGTACAGCGAATTAACATTAGGAGATGTTGCTGGTTATCGTGCAAAATTTCGAAAAATCGCTGAGATTCCATTTAACTCCACTAATAAATATCAGGTACAGTATGGGAAAAAAAAGAATATCATGTCCTATTTGCAGAAAAAAATTACATAACTTCTGAGTTTAATGCATTATAGTGTTGAAAGCGAATTTTAGGTATCTATTCATGAAACTGATGATTTGGATGAATCATATCTGTTGGTAATGAAAGGTGCGCCGGAACGAATCTTAGATCGCTGTTCAACAATGATGATTAAGGGAGAAATAGTCCCTTTGGATGATACTCGTCGAAAATTATTTGAAGAAGCATATTTGCAGCTAGGTGGCATGGGTGAACGTGTGCTTGGATTCTGTGATTATCGTCTAGACAGTAAAGATTATCCTAAAGGTAAGTAATTGATTTCCTCGCAAATTTCCTTAAAATAATGAATCAGTAGTAATTTTATTACATTAAGCTCCATATTATCAGTATTGTGAAGCACTCAAAGATTACTTTTTTCGTTTTGCAGGTTACAAATTTGATGTAGATGAAGTCAATTTTCCTGTAGAAGGTTTATGTTTTATCGGTTTAGTATCTATGATTGACCCTCCACGAGCTGCTGTACCAGACGCTGTCGCTAAGTGTCGATCAGCTGGCATCAAAGTTGTGATGGTGCATTTTAAAATTTGATTTCCAATAATAATGAAGTTTTTTTTTTACGATTTTTTGTTGAAATTGCAAGTGGTATTTGATAAAATATTGCTTTTTGACATTTGGATTAATTTACAGCATGTTTCACGTAAATGTCTTCTTAAATTATTGTACTTTCCGTACAGCCGTTTCAAAATACTTATTACTTCAGAGCATTCATTTATTAAGTTTTAGGTTACGGGTGATCATCCAATCACAGCTAAAGCTATTGCGAAGTCAGTCGGAATTATTTCAGAAGGATCAAAAACAGTTGAAGATTTAGCAATTGAACGTAACTGCACTGTAGAGGAAATAAATCCTAATGAGGCGGACGCAGCTGTAATTCACGGCACTGATTTACGTGAAATGTCAGAGGAACAGCTGGCTGATGTTATTGCTCATCATCGCGAAATAGTCTTCGCACGTACATCACCACAGCAAAAGTTAATGATTGTCGAAGGATTCCAACGTCAGGGACAAATTGTCGCAGTTACTGGTGATGGTGTCAATGATTCTCCAGCATTGAAACGTGCTGATATTGGAGTGGCAATGGGAATTGCTGGTTCTGATGTCTCCAAGCAAGTTAGTTAACATGAAGTGTTATTATTTTGAAGCTTAAAATTTACATATCTTAAATTTTTTCATTAGCTAAATATGATATGTTAAACTGAAGGCAGCTGATATGATTTTATTGGACGATAACTTTGCGTCAATTGTGGTTGGTGTTGAAGAAGGCCGATTGATTTTTGATAATCTCAAAAAGTCTATCGCATATACGTTGACATCAAATATTCCGGAAATATCTCCTTTTCTCACTTATATTTTGCTCGGCATTCCGCTACCTCTTGGTACCGTAACAATATTATGTATTGACCTTGGAACAGACATGGTACCAGCCATATCACTTGCGTATGAAGAAGCAGAATCAGACATTATGAAGCGTCAACCACGTGATCCTGTCCATGACAAACTTGTTAATGAACGGTAAGCAGTCAATATAATCAGATATTTGCATTCAAAAATATCTGTTGACATTGTTTGTGATTATGCTGATAGCATTTTAGGCTGATTTCGCTGGCTTATGGACAAATTGGAATGATTCAAGCATCAGCAGGTTTCTTTACCTACTTCTGGATTATGGCTGATAATGGATTTTGGCCCAGTCGTTTGTACCAGTTACGAGCTCAGTGGGATTCGCGTGCTTTTAATTCTTTAGAAGATTCTTATGGACAAGAATGGGTAAAAGCTTTCTAGTGCATCTTTAGTCTAGTAAATTCAAGTTTTAAATGATATGGACCTCAAGATTTTCTCGTTATTCACTAAGATTCTATGCTGATCGAGTAACTTCATTAAGATATAAGTGTTAAGAGTTTTCATTTTATATTTCTAGACATATGCAAACCGTAAGATTCTGGAGTACACGTGTCAGACAGCGTACTTTGTATCTATAGTGGTTGTTCAGTGGGCTGATTTAATTATTTCAAAAACACGGCGTAATTCTTTGGTACAACAAGGAATGAGTAATTGGACATTGAACTTTGGGCTAGTTTTCGAGACTGCTCTAGCTGCTTTTATGTGCTATTGCCCAGGATTAGACAAAGGTCTTCGTATGTATGGATTAAGGTTAGTTTTTTTCTTGGAATAAAAGTGATGTTGCTTATGTGATCGTATA